TTGGGGGTTGGTTTGTTTTTGTTAATGTATAGCATACACCTCAATGACCAGTCATAACTGCAACCAATCTCGAATTTTCAGGTTCATTAAAAACAGTATTGGTATGAAAAGCATTTGGAAAAGTAAAATGGCTAGAGGCTACCAGAATCAAGCCTTGTTTTTGTTAGGTGCCATCGAGTTGAGCATGACTCAAAGCAACTCTATGAACAACAGATCTGAACCCTGTCCTATTCTGCGCCATCCTCACACTTCCTGACACACAAGAGCCCATTGCGATAGTTACCGTGTCAGTCCACCTGGTTGAGGGTCTTCCTCTCCTTTGTCAACCCTCCACCCTTCCAAGCATCATGCCCCTTTCCAAGAAACCAAAACTGCATTTTTGGAAGATTAATCTAGTAATGTTGTGCTGGATACAGATGAGACAGACTGACATATTCAAGTGCAATAGCAAAGGCCAAGAAGGAAATTCTTAGGGCTAAGAAGGAAATTCAGAACATATTAGGAAACAATGCACCTGGCCCTTCTCTGCCTTTCCACATGCTGTCACTCTCCGTGGCTTCCATCTGGAAGGATGATGGCCTCACTGCGAAGACCCACTTTGTGGCTAACTGTGAGTTATTGCTGACTTATAAATGGAATTTCTCATTAAGCATTTTGACAACCCAATAACCTACATTCCAGGAAAAGGTCAAAATTGGTGAGGAGTTTTGACATTATTTAGAGGATGATAGATGAGGATTGAACTTACAAAGAGTAAGAAAGAAGAACTGTCTTTCATGTCTGAGTCCCATACAGTATCCCTTCAGAGAGAGGGCTTGGAGGGAATTTTGTTGTTAGGTGCCATCGAGTCAAGTACGTCTCATAACTACCCTTTCAATAACAGATCTGAATGCCGTCCTATCCTGTGCTGTGGGAACGGATAAAAAGCCAGACAAGAGAAGAAAGAAGGCAAAACCTATTAGAAAAATACAGTAAAAGCCACAAAAAGAGAAAAAAGAAAGGACGGCAATAATTGCAAAATCTTCTTTCCAATTGTAACATTTAGGTAATAAAGTGTATGTGCTGGGCAATGTACAATTTTAGCTCTTACAGGTATCAAAACAGAAAATATTTTTTCATGCTTCCTTCAGTTATGCTTTGTCTATCAGGGGTCAGTAGTGCATAAACACGAAATTACGTTTTTGTATCTGGGAAAACGTGTATTTTAGAAGAAGAAAGAAAGGCCATTTATTTTGTGCCCATTGTATGCCAGACAATTTTCTCATGATGCCTAAGCAAATTTAAGCACCTAATGTATAAATCTTGACTGCTAGCTCAAGTCTGTCTGACCCAGAGCCCAACATTTCTCCTGTATGATGCTGTCTACCTAGGGATGGAGGGGGCACATCCTATTAGAATAGACCCCGAAAAAGCATTCAAAATACACACACACACACACAATCAACCCCTAACAACCAAACTATTTGCCTTTGTATTGGTTCCACCCGTGATGACCCATATATTACAAAGCAAGATTTTCTTGGCTATAATTTTCACAGAAATAAACTTCCAGGTCTTTCTTAGGTGGCACCACTGAGTGGATTTGAACTACCAACTTTAAGTTAGTGACCGAATGTAAACTGCTTGCACCACTCAGGAACCTAGTACAGATACAGGATTTTGGCTACATAGTGGCTATCTCTCCAGGATCTTGCCCCTAGCCAATAGCCCTGCTTGGACACAGTTATTTAAGCCTATTTCGTTACACTCATCATTTCCCAGAGCTGTTAGTTCAACTCCTTCCTGGGCCCAGTCTGTGAATCTTGTCAGCTGCATTGTGTAGATTAAGGATGCACTTTAATGTGCAGAGAACACGCTGGGGAGCATGTTCAAGTGCAGATTCTGATTCCGAGGGGATGGAACCCGAAATTCCCCTCGTCTAACAGGATCCCTGAGATCCTGTGGCTGTTATCCATCCTTGGGCTGTAGATGGTCCACAGAATGTCTCTCAAGTCCATACCTCATAATTCTTGCCTCAGAATCTGTGAGTTGTATGGGGTTTTTTCCCCCTTGAATTATCACAGATTTATTGAATTACTTATTTTATTGGTCTGCTTATAAAGTTTGTGTATATAGTACATTTCACACTATTCTTCATTCATATTGTGTTTCATACATTCTCATGCATGATGTTTTATAAAATTAATCACCATTGGACCTTGTCCATCATGACCTTGTCTTTTTACCCAGATCTTTCCCATTTCCTCCTCCCCCAACTATGCACCCCTGTGGTTTCGCCCCTACCCATCCTCACCTTCCACTCTCACTCCTTCCCCTCTTGGGTTCCCATGCATATTTTACTCATTATCTTTTTATTTTTACAATAATGGTACTATACAGTATTTGTACTTATGAGGCTGAGTTAGTTCACTCACATAATGCTCTCCAGGCTCTCCATACTCCACACTTTTCCTCTCTCCAATTTATATTTCCTGCTTCCAGAGTGATTGACAGTTAATAGAACCTTCAGTGACTCACAGACATGCACCCTAGAGAAGTCCAGAACCCATCAGGCTGTCAATCAAGGCCTCTATAAAGATGACGCAGGCTGAAGTTCAAGCTATACTGGAGCTGCCAACATTTCTTGAGCATGCCTTTTTGCTTTTCTTCTTGTTGGTGGTTACTAATCTATCCCTATCTATCTTCAATTTCTATCAAATAGTATCTAACCTCCAAAAACTCCCTTGAGGTGTACACACACACACACACACACACACACACACACACACATATCTATTCATCACTATATCCATATAGCGTACATAACTATGTATGTCTGTCTCACTCTATAT